AAATTTGTGATGTAAGTAGACTGTTATTTATCAGATATATGGAACCCATACCAGACAGTATTGACGGTAGTTGGAGCAATTCTGTGGAGAAGGGGAAAATATTTCATGCCATCCTCCCACCCCTTACTCACCAAATGCTTCAGCACCTTTCAGTCCTGCTGCCCACCTCAGGATTCCTGAGGAGCGGAGCCGCCTTTCCCCACAGAATGAGCACCTCATTGGTGGCACCCTCGGCCGTGAGATCGAGGGAAACGCAGCAGGCCTCAGCGCCGGCCAGATCCCAACCAAGTCTCAGCAATCTTCTCCTGCAATCCTCGCCTCGGGCTGTCTGGAGGAGGAGTGTGCAGCCGCTGTTGCCTTACCCTCACCCTTCCCCGGTCGCCTCGATGGAAGCGGACAGGTCGGGCCGGTCAAAATGAGGCCTATCGCCTCTCGTGTGACGGCTCGCGTGGAGGGCTTTCAGACGGCACGGCAACCTCTGCGGCCGGGGGCGGGCCGACAGACAACCAATCCTCCAACCTGCCGCCGTCAGGCGAGACAATGTTCCAAAAAGGGAGAGTTAACACAGAACACCATTCGGTGTGATCCACAAGTCGCACACCAGATTGTAATAGGATTGGCTACTTCCACAGTAGTGGAGGTGCGTGTCTATATGTGAGTGTGTGTGTGCGTGCGTATGTGTGTGTGTATGCTCTGCTCATTGCCAGGCAGAAGAGTTGTTCGAGTGGAGGAGGAGCCGAAGCATGGCTGTATTCAGCTCAAATCGTGACTCCAATCCGTCGGGTTGGACAACTTCTGCCTGTTGCATGGTCAAAAAGGAGGCTCCGGCTCAAGGCTGCCGATTGGAGATGGGCGGTTGGGGTCAGATGCGGTTTCCAACGCCTGAAGCATCATGGCAAGTCGGCGTCTGCGTGTGGAGACGAGGGCAGATATGCGAGAGTAGTCGTGTCATCTAATTCGCTTCGCTTCACTTCACTTCACTTTACTGAAATCGCGCTGCAAAAGTGACCGGGACAGTTTTGCCTCTCAATCGACCTGCTCGATCTGTTTGTCTAGCCCGAGTCGGCCCAAGCCGGCACGAAGCAGCGGCGACTGGGCGCCACTTACGCCAGATAAGCCGACCAGCTGCTCAGCGTCAGTCGGCAATTCTGGCGGCTGTCTGGCCTCGTCAGGCGGTTCTATCGATCCGTTCTCTGTCGGGCCCGGAACTCACGACCAGCCTGCCCGGCTGGCGTGGCTCACGTGCCGGTCAGCCAATGAAGTATGGCGCGCCGACGAGGATGACTCATGTAACCCAGTTTCAGACCGATTCCTCCAGGGCCATTCCGATCCTGCTCCCCATGCCTCAGCCACACATTGCCACTGACACAGCCTTCCCAATCTGTTCGATTAAGCCCATCTATTTACTTGATCATTTGCCCCACTTTCGCTTCTATCCCTTCTCCCGGCCTCAACACACGTTCTGGCGCATGCACAATCCCTTATGCTTATACTTGTGCGCTGGTCCTCCATAGAACAACAACATTCCTTCCACAATTATTCACACTTGAGCCGATTACCCCCCTGATGTTGTGCAAATATGTGAGACATATCAAATATGCAAATGGACGCCTACATGTACTCAAATGTGGGCTATTAGTCCTTCCAACCGAGCTAGGATTCACGATCTCATGTCATATCCTTCTTCAAGGTGTACCTTTTACTGCCACCATCACGACCAACACGAGGGGCCACACCTTTGA